AACATGGGCCCAGGGCCATGTGGGGGCCAGAGAGCGAATAAGGCAAAGAGGTGGGGATGGCAGGCGTCAGGCAAGTATGAGCACGGGCCAAGGCTCAGAGATGAGAGAGAGAGAACAGCTGTCCAAGAAACAACAGAGGGCTCGCCCTGACCTTGGTGAGCCACAGGAAGCACAGGGCAGGGGTGAGATGAGGCCAAGAAGGAACAAGATCTTCAGGAAATGTGTGACCCAGCTAAGGAGGTAGAGCTCCACCCTGACCATCAGAAGGTGTTTTAAGTACCTAAAGGCCCAAACCTGAGACCGTGGGGATCTCAAAGAACCCTTACTTCTGTCTCATCTGTGAGGCTGACCTGAAGACCTCTCTAGGGAGGTGTGAAGTATCTGGCAGATCTTCCCAAAGTGACCAGGCCTCTCCTTTCCTTGGAAGGAGGAAGCCTGTCTACCTGCAGAGATAAAAATCACAGAAAACGCATCTCTCTATCAATTTCATCTATTTTAAGAACTTAAGTGGGGAGGGTATAGTTCAAGCAGCATGCATGAGGTCCTGGGTTCAATCCCCAGTGCCTTTTCTAGGAATAAATAAAAATAAATAAACCTAATTACCTCCCCCCACTAAAAAAAAATAATAGTATTTTTTAAAAAGCCAAAAAACTTAAGACAGTGAAGAGACTGCTGCTTCCTCCTCCCTTCTGGTCCTCCCCTCTCATCCCCGGTGCCAGGGTCTGGATAGCCAAGGCTGAAGATAAGGTAAATTCAAAAGCAGAGTCACCTGCACTGCAGCCTAAGTCCCAGCGTGGACACGGACAGCAAAGGTGTGAATGGCAAACAAATAACTATGCAGGTTCTCGGTTAGAGGCTTCTGTGAACTTCCTGGAATGCTTTCAATAACATTTTGAGCAGGATTGTGATGCTCTGGGCTCAAGCATTTCTCGAGCGCTTGTGGAGAGTATAGCTGGCTTCCCAACGTAGACTTCTGACCGACTCGTTTCCAAAATATTGCAAATTTGCAGCAGATACGTCAGGAGGTGTGATGTAAAGTAATAAGGATGCCAACTTGTTCTGATCAGAAAAGTGACTGAACTTTTGGACAAAAAATGGTCATGCTTATTATTAGATCAAGTGGATTCTTTTAAACTGAAATCAGAGAACCTGAAACATGGTGGGGGAAGAAGCAATATCCTGGCAATTCTAGGGTAATCATACCAGGAAGAGGCATTCGAGTGAATTCACTTTAAAATAACTCCATATTTCACACTAAATAGCAGGGGACAAGGTTTAATTAAAATATTATTTTAAAAAATATATTATGAAACTAAGATATATTTTATCTTAAACAAGGTGTAAGTTATAATTGCAACTCTGCCCTAATAACTAGAACAAAGAATGGGTTCTGCTGATGTTGTCTGGCATTTGTTTTCTGACAAAATCATATCACATGACCCAATATCCCTGAATTTACTGTTTCCTTTTGTAGCATAGAGGCTCATTTTTGCAAACATGTTAGAAAGATCCATCAATTTTTCCTAATGGCCTCTCCTCATCTTTGTTCTTCAAAACATGCATTTTGGAAGTTCCATCCTGTCACCTTCCTTCTCAACACTATGGTCCTCAAACGTCAAAGGGGCCGATGCCCCCAGCACCTCACTCGTCAGGACCCCATCAGTTCAGCACCATTGCTTGCTGCAACTTCATGAAATGCTGCATCCTCAGCCAGGCTCACCAGTTCATCTCACAAGTAGATTACGTTTTACTTGTATCACATGTTACAGAATTTTCACACCGCCTGGCAATCAGAGGGAATGGACCGACAGAGAGGGTCTCAGAGAACAGTTACACAGACGAGATACTGGAGGAGAGGTCAGTTTATAAGTGGTCGGTGAGCTGGAAATGTGTCAGTTTCGTGACAACGCCTCCTTCCCTGCACAACCTCCTGACAACCCCACCGTGGACACCAAGCAGACTTTGTGCTTTCCCGCACACGCAGATGAGATGAAAGAGAGGTGGACTGACTTTCTAACAGCAGGCTCCCCCGTGGACAACAATGTTACAGCAGAAAGAAAAGCTGGACGATGAAATTTTGCTTCCCTACCCTGCTGCACACCAGGATTCATTAACACATGTAACCGGGAGTAACCCCAGGCTCAGGGATGGTAGCTTCACTTGCCCTTTGAGATCTACCCTGAGGTGTCTGCCTTATCTGACTCTGGATTAACAAATCTGCCTCATTTCAGATGCTGCTTGATAATCTCACTTCTGAGAACAAAGGAGCAATCACAGGTCAGCCTTGGGAAAAGAACCTAGAAAAAGGGATCCAGCAGTGTGGCTTAGGGGAAGACTCCGCTGGGGAAAGTGAAACAGGAGAGAGATGACAAAAACAACGTCAACTGGGCGTAAACAGACGAGACCAAGCTCCCATCGGCCACATCCTCAGGGCAAACTTGAATGGCCCAGCATCCTCAATATGCCCAGTCTTGTCTCCAACCAGAATTGCACCAGAGATCAAAGTCCACACCCCCCAGTCTCATCCCACTCTTTGATTGTCTTTATATGGTTTGTATTTACCGTATTTTCCTTTGAGGCAGTGGGGACCTGTTTGGCTGACCAGAGTGAGTCCCTAAGAAGAAAGGGGCCACATGTCCTACTCATCTTGTAGTTTCACCCTCTCTTCCTTTTCCACCATTTGCTCCCTCTCTTCTTTGCACACAGTGATGCTCAATAATTTGTCTATTGAATTGAATCCAAGCCTTCCAGTAAACATGAAATCTGATGTTCACAAAGAAAGAGGATAGGGAGCCAGACCAGACAAGGCCCCGAGGTGGAATTCTTCCATGAGTCTACAGGTAGAGGGAGAGGAAACAAAAAAGGTAGCTCTGGCCAAACAAGTGAGGTTACATGGGGTAAGAAACAGTGGAAGACCTTGCTACTAATCCATCTTACCCAACCCTGCTTTTAGAATAGAACTGAACATAACAATCTGTCAGCAGTGAAAGGATGACATAAAAGGATGCCTGTGATGCTCAGCATTCCTAAATTCCTCTTGTACTGTGAGAGCAAGGAGATCTACAATCGTCTCTTTCTGGTTTAAAGACTTCCAGGGACTGATCGTGTTGCAAGCCAGTAACTCCATCCCACCTACGATGCCTCATAAATTACTACGAATTTGAAAAGGTCCTGACAAGAGAGCTCTTGACTTAGAACTGTTAAGATCTTTTTCAACTGCTGGATGCCAACTCTTACCTAATTATTTCCCCTAACAATTCCTGCACCTAATGGCTTCAGTGTAGAGACACAGTAAGGTCCCTACATCTTTAGTACAGGAAATCTGCCTTCCCGCTATGTGCCAACCCAACAAACGGCCCACTGGCCATCCCCCGAGGAGCCTCTGATAGCTGTCTTCAAAGCAAATTAAAGAACTTCATTTCCCAGCCCCATTCCCAATGGCCACCCTGCTACTAACCATTGCTCCACTCTGTTCAAGCTCAAGAGGAAACAGTCTAGGACAACTTCAGGTCCTTTGTAATGTTCGTAATGTAATAATCTCTCAACACTCTTTGAGCGTATTGTAAGGACCTGAGCTGTGGCCCAATTGTGCAACCTTGGTGAAGAGTCTGGGCTTCCTGTATCCTCTGAGCTGGTCTAATAATGTTCTGCTTATACCAGGTACAAAGGCATGACAGACGCAGTCCCAACCCTGGATTGTTTCAAACTAAATCAATGCATTTGAGGGGGAGGGTATAGCTCAAGTGGGAGAGCACATGCTTAGCATGCATAAGGGCCTGGGTTCAATCCCCAGTACCTCCTCTAAAAATAAATAAATAAACAAACCTAATTATCCCCCCCCAAAAATACAACAAATAAACCAAAGTAATTGGCAGTCACTGTATAATACTTAAATATGCAATACTAAATTATGTAGCCAGGTCCCAAAGTGCCGGAGAAGATTCAAGATTCTTCACGGCCTTTTCATCCAGTGCTCGGGGGAGAGTCTGGACGTCCTGGGAAAAGAAGGTGACCAGGTCCCACCACAGAAGACTGTGGGGAGCCCCCTTCACGTCTGGTGGCAGCACAGCCAGCTCTCACTGCAAGCAGCCCAGAACAGGCAGAAAATTCATTCCTGACTGCAACCCAGCACTGGTCAGAGGTTCATTGAAAACCCCTGATAATTGCAGGAGAGAACCTAGAGGACCTGCTAGCTCATCCTTCTCTGAACCTGGGTTAAGACAGAGGAGAGCAAAGGAATGAACATTTGATTTGGTCCTCAGAAGAAACGTCGTCCACGGGCTGCGGCTGGATGCCACACACTCATCCTTTCCCCAAGGTCCAGGCTGAGGCGGCCCATTTAATGGAAGCTTGTATTGACTGTAAAACTGTACCATGAGGATGTTGGCCATGGTACTACCCTATGTCTCTGAAATAAATGTCTCCTGAGTATCCAAACTCGAAATAAGGAAAACAGTGACTTGGGTGTTTTCCCATTTGCCTTGTCAATCATCAACTTCAGCTCAATTCAGACCTAAGCAGAGTGATTTTAATGAGACCCTCCGCAATGCCTATTCTTTCACCTCCTTTGAAATGCCCTCTCCTCTGCTTTATCCTTTCAGCATTATGTTCAATCTTAGAAACTTAAAACTATCTGCTAGAAATAAGATTATAAAATACGCCATTCTTGGGGAAGTGTCTTTGTCTTTCGTGGGACAATCTTACCTGCATATGAGTCTATTTTTCACCAAGGCTGTAAAAATCTCCTGAAAGAGTTTATGCTGGGGGTGTTTGCTGAAGTTTCTCTCATTCTTGTAGTTTATACTGAGATGAAAGAGACAGAAAAGCATTTTGTAATAAAATAAATAAACTTATTTAGGATGCCTCAAAATTACCACCACAGAGAAAGATCACTCATATGCATGCAAACACTGAAGGACTCTTGGAACTGAATGTACCATGAAAGGCAAGTATCAGCTGTTAAAACAGGAAGCAGAAATTCAATTACAAAGTTAATAATAAAGATTATAGTAAAGCATATGTATTTCATTTTACAGATTAACTAAATTATTCCCTACAGATACTTAGCAACTAAAATTGGTGAGAGGGAAGAAAAGGGCATACGGAGAGAGAGAGTGATTGGGCACATTATCCAGTGTCCCTGGATAAGTGTCCCTCACTTCATGTTGCCACCCACCCAGCCGTGGGCTGCTACTGCTATTCACACCAGTGGATGCCTTGTATATTTCCTTGTAGATAACAGGGAGTTATTAACACAGGTGGTTGACGTGTGTGTGTGTGTGTGTGTGTGTGTGTGTGTGTGTGTGTAACAAAGTCATGAGATAGTCTAGCCTCAGCTGTTTTTCCCAGTTATTACAGCCATCAGAGAGGTTAAAAATACCCCCAATGCACTCTACCTTAAAACTGGAAACGGGTAAGAGATAATACACAAGAGTCACAGTGCTATAAAATATATAATAAATATTTTTGCACACATGAAAATAGATCAATTTTAAGATCTAGGCTGAAAACGCTGGAATTACACAAACATACCACCTCAGAGGCAGGTTCTGGAGTCTTGTGGTGTTGTTCGGATTGTCCTGCCTTCGTTGGACTGTGTGTCCCTACCCTAGGCAGGTGAGGGCTGTCACAGTTCTTAGTAATGAACACGGGCAGACTGAATACGTAACAGTTTTTAAAGAATTTTGTGTTCCTCACTAAACGTGTATTTGAAAAATATGAATTCATGTGGTATTATGAAACACTTGTGGACTATTGAATTCACTGTCATAAAATGACAGGGGAACGAAACCTAGGCCAAATAAATAGATAAATGATCGTTCTAAAACATTTCTATTGAGATTTCATGCCAATTCATTATTTACATGGCACTTCGTGCCAAATGACTTTAACACACTGTAAAACCAAGAGAAGCAGCTCCAGGAGGGTGGTGGCCACAAGAATGCACAGCTTCTAAAAGGTCTGCACGCAACAGGAGAGAGAAACAGAGGCTGACACTTCCTGTGTGAAAGGTGAGGGACTGAAAGCCTCGTTGTTTTGACAACCCCAGTCGTCAGCCAACACATTTGTTCACAGGAGTGGCTTTTTTTATGCCGCCTCATTGCGGCAAGATACAGAGAGACCAAAAGCTAAAGACAAAACTTGGAGTCGGCCTAGCCAGTCAACAACCTGAGCCACTTCCTCATGGAGCAAACGCCAAATGATGTCAGCCAGGTGTCCTGAAACTCCCAGGTCAGTCTCACCTGCAGCCACTTGGCCTGTCATTTACACACTATTTCTAATCTAAATTACTGAAGGAGGAATCCCCATGGTAAATTTTAAAATGGTTTTCAGTTTTAGCTCCTGTGCCAAACTGAAATAAATCTTTGGGCTAATGAGGATAGGCTGGGAAGGCAAGGGACTTACTGGATTTTCTTACCTAAAATTTTCAAGTTCGACGGCTTCCGTGGACTCGTGCCACTGCCCTCGAGCCCTGTGCCCGGCCACCCCGATGGCGGGCTCAGACTTCGTCATGCTGCTCTGCGCACTTTCGAAGTTAATGGCTGGGAGCTACAGAAACAGAGGCACAGAGGACGAGAGGATGACGCTTCAGCAGAGGATAAAGGAAGTCACAAAAGAGGGGGAACGAAGGGAACAAGTGTTTCCCCGGCCAACGGCTAACACGACAGCTGTGCCGAATGTGGGGCAGGGGTTTACCAAGCTTTAGATATCCTTGACCTAAGTGTTTACTCTATCTTATGCTGCTTTTTCTCCATAGCCTGTAACGCCACCTGTCACGTCTTACAGTTACTGATGTATTTTCAGTCTCCCTTGGTTAGAATGTCAGCTTGAAGCAGGAGCTTGCCTACTTCTGTTCAATGCTGTATCCCTAGCACCTAGAACACTGCTGGGGATACAAGTCTGGGTGAGGACTGGGCATTAGGCGCTTCTGAAGCTTCTCGGGTGATTCAAATGTGCAGTGGAAACAGGGAGCTCACAGATGCAGCTGGAAACTCTGTGGACTGGAGTGGAGCCCCAAACTGAGAATGAGTCACCTCCGTTCATTCATCTTCATCAATCACACACACTGCTTCCCAGGACTTAGGGGTATAATGGCAAAGAAGATTCCATCACTTTTAATCAGTCTGAATGTTTTAATTCCTCCATCATGTTTATAAAAGTCATAAAAATATAGAATTCACCATAGGGAAAGTAAAAATTTGCTTAAATTAAAACAACTTGAGTATGCCCCCATTTACAACATGAACTGGTAAATGTTTAATAAATTGTGACACTGTCCGTATTCAAATAGTTTCACTTAACCAACCTGTAATTGGGGCTAGCCCTGAGAATTGTTTCTTGTACCGCCGTAAAGCTGAACAAAGTGCAAGTTCTCCACTCTTTCCCCAGTGCAAATGAGGAATGTTCTATAATTAGCTAATTACAGATGAAGTCAGGAAAGCATAATGTAACTAAATAAAAACTACTTTTTTCAGTTAAGTCATGCTGTGCTAAATATTATAGTTATCAAATAAAGCTACAATATGCTGTACTTGTGGTCCTCGTCTGTCAAAGTACTTGATAGAAATCTGCAGAAAGACACTGTTTCCTTATCCAAAGAGAACATGCCGGACTTTCCATAAGGCAGTCAGCTTACAGAAAGACACATCATAATGAAGACATTGTTTAATAGACAGCAAACCCCTCCCCAAACCCTTCTTCATCACATGCCAGCCACAGCTGAAGTCTCAAAATTATTAATAAATCTTACAGCCTGTGTCTTTTCAGTAAAAGAAAATATGAGGATTATGTGGTACGTTAAGTTCAATATAATCAATTGTAATTCTAGTTACTGTAAGCAAGTCTCTTTATCGACTACAGTGAAACCAGGCGTTTACCTGTGCCTTTTGTCTTTCGTTGTTTAGAGACAGTTACTGTACTGATGCTGTTGCAAAGGCGCTTCATCTTTAAGAAGATTCACAGGAGGTTTACAGAAGCGGTTACAACAGTTCCACATCAAGATGATGGCTATTCAAAGACTCCAGCCCATGCCACCCCTGGACTCGAGACACAGGAAGCTGTCCTGCCCCTGGGGTCCCTAGATGAGGCATTCAGACATTTTTACTCCCCAACAGGCAGGGACAATACCCCTACTAACCCTGGAAGCAGCCACAGAAGACAGACCGCTGCCCCTCTGCACTCGCATAAGATGATGGGAGTCAATTATCTGGGGAGGGAATGAGATGGGAAGGAAGAGGGCAGGACACAGCAATTAGCACCAAGATGGCAGAAAAGGCAACTCCCAGGAGACCTGGAGGCCCACGATGGCGGGAGATCCGACCTCCAGTGGACCCTGAGCTTCATTATACACACTGCAATGTACTAGCTGGTGAATGACAGACCCACAAGCGCCACGACAATTCCCAGGCTGACCATGAAAGGTCAAAAAGAGGGCAGTGACCCAGTTCCTGGGAATCCTTGTTCCTTCCCCAGGGTAGTTGGAATAATCCTCTCATTTGTTAGCATATAAAAACTAGCAACACAGCGCCTCGCGGCCTTCCGGGAGGGCCGGCACTGTCTGTGGAGTGTATCTCCCTTCACCTTAACCACTCCTCCTTCCCCGTGTCTCTCTCTAAATAAATCTACTTTTACTCAAAAAAAAAAAAGTTAAAAAATAGTAATAAAAAATAAATCTTACATCCTACAAAACTACATTTCTATCTCAGTTCAGTGGGCCAGTCCACAACCACCATAAGACAACAGGCCATGGGCACTTGCAGTAACACTCAGTGGTTAAGAGAACAAATGCTGGGCCAGATGCCCTGGGTTTAAATCTACTCTTTGAGAGCTGCATGATCTTTTTATTTTTATTTTTTTTCCAATTGAAGTACAGTCAATTACAATGTGTCAGTTTCTGGTACAGAGCACAATGTCCCATCATGCATATACATACGTATATTCGCTTTCATATTTTTTTCCATTAAAGGTTATTACAAGATATTGAGCATAGTTCCCTGTGCTCTACAGAAGAAACTGGTTTTCTGAGAGCTGCATGATCTTGAAAGTTACTTAATCTCCCTGCACAACGGGTTCTACATCATTACAATAGAAATAATAACAGTAGTATGTAGTTTTAGAGTTATTATGAAAACTAAGTGACTTGGAATTTATAAAGCACTTGCTATGTGCCAGGCATACTTCTAAGTGCTTTAAATTCTTTTAATCCTCAAAATCATTCCCATGGCACAGATGAATCCACTAAGTAAATGAAATCTGTCCTTCCAAATGACACGATGAGATGGGATCACCCAAATGATGCTGGGCGTGAGGTCGCAGCAGTGAGCCGACCATCCTGTGCGACACGGGACACAGAGGGACGCAGCACACAGGAGGCGGGTGGTCCAGGCCCACAGGCTTTCAAAGCCCCTTGCCACCACAACTCCCAGAATCCTGCCTGCAAGAGAGAAGGCAGGCAGCACGCAGAGAACGAGCCTCCTCCTCCTCCTCAAAAGCCATCCCACCACTGTCCGTGCCACTCGTCCAGGACTCACAACTGTCACCTGCCACACCCCACTTCCTACACCCAGCCCCTCAGAACACAGCTACAGTGCCTCCTGCTTTTTCTTTCCACAGCATCTACCAAAACTTCTTTTATTTCAAGGCAACTAATGGGCTTGTAATGAATTATTTTCTTTCTTTCATTTCTTTTTTCTAATTACAAACCAATTTCTCAGTTCCCTATGGCTTTAAGTGCAGGAAAAAAAAACTGAATTCCTGCTCAAGGCAAATTACTTCAAGGTTCATGAAAGCAAAACTTCTGATGAAGCCTCCAACCAGCTTTGTACTTTTCCTTTGCTTCAACAACCCTGGGCAATCCTTTTGCTCGAAGTATTTGGTTTGCCGGGACTGTGATGGAGGGGCCCCTCCCCCTCAGCGTGTCTCTGGCCCAACTTCTGTCGGGACAGAACTGTCCTGCAGAACAGCAGGCCCTACGGTGGTGAAGCAAGGTCCGCAGAGACACGCGGGGAAGACAGGACAAGAGGAGGCAGTGAGGGGAGGGCCTGGCTCCAGAGAGATTCGGATGAAGCACACCCAGCTCTTTGCAATTCTCTGCCCAAACCCACGAGGTTCACTTCCGCTGCAACCGCTTAACCGGCCATCTTGGCTTATTATCAAAGGACAGGCCAGGTCTTGTGAGAACAGAAACTCAGGTGAGTGGGCCTTAATCCCAGGTTTCCTTTTTCAAACGGACTGCAAAAAATCTGCGAGCCTAATGTGCAGCCAACTGGCATTTTCTGATGGGCATTTCCTCTGGACTCTGACTTTGCTTTGTTTCCAAGCCTTGCTTTTCTTTTATAATAATCTGAACACTTTATGTATCTTTATGTTCTTTCTGGAGCAATCAAGATACAAATAAATTCTTGATTTATTCACTATCTTACTTCTACAAATATCTCCACATTACTTTACAGAAAAAAAGAATAGGGTGTTCAGAGGAACATTTATTAAATTATTTAAAATTGCAAATGCATGGAAGTTTTATAAACAGAATTAAGAATGAATTTTGTGACCCTCGGGATCTTTATATAAATAAGCTGTTTGTTATTTTCATTTTTTCTCAGAACTATCTACTTTCTGAATAATTCAAGCATTACAAACACGCATTTTTGAATGCTGAAATACTTTACAAAAAGACACACTGTGTGAACTTGTCAGACAACAGACTGCAAATTCTAAAATTGGTTAAAGGGAGGAAACTCTTAAATTCACTTTCATGAAGCCGGCCGGGTGTTAACAAGGGAGTGGCATTGAAAGGAGGCACAACAGATCCACTGAGTGTGGGCTTCAAAGCTGCACAAACAGAGCCAAAACTCATCACACATGTCTCTTCAACCCTGGCCAGAGGGTTATATGTGCCCATGAGGTCACTGAATTTTTAAGTTACAATTCAATTTGGCAAAAACTGACCAAGAACTCACCGAATACAGGATACAGTGAACCAGAGGCTAAAGTCAAAATTGCTAGCATTGGGAAACATATCATCTTGTCAGGAAATGAGACATGTAGACATATGTTTCAAGGCAAGGAAGAAAATGATGCTACAATGTTGAAAGAAGGTACTTTGGCAAGAGAGGGATCCCTTCTAGAATGGAAGAGAAAGGAAAGCTTTTTTGCGGAGGTCTGGTCATTAGATCTTGGTCTTGGAAATAGTTAAGATTTGATAGGAAAGAAACTTGGGAGAAGGTCAAATTTGAAAAAAAAACAAAAAGTTGGAATATCTGACATCCTGGTTATATCTTGGGATGCACAGTGAGAAGGAATGGGAACCACAACCAAAACTATGCTGAGTCAGCCTGCTTCCCTCACTAAGAAAGAATGGACTGACGTAACGATCAGCGCACTGTGGGCCAGGAAGACAGTGTAGACAGACCAAGAGTAGTGATGCTGAAATGAGCAGGTGAGGAGAAAAGAGTTCCTGGGGTGGGGACGGGGTTGCAGCCTTAAGAACGGAGAAGCAAGAGGAGAAAAAAATATTTTCAGGCTGTGCTTACTTCAAATCAAAGCTCATC